TATTCAGATATCACTTTTATATTTTTTCTTCGTTAATATTTGAATCATGATAAATTTTTTATCAGAACAAATATGTCTATGTCATATTAATTATTTTTCGTATGTTAAAAATTATTGCTTATTTTTAAAATTATCTTAGCCCCCCTGTCGGGGCATTGCTGACCCCCTGTCGGGCTAAGTCTAGCGCCACTCTTGTGTGTATGCTAATTTTAAGATGCTATATAGGTATTACAGCTAGTAATTATCCTTAAGCCAAAATTTTGTGTTTTTTACTATTGTCATAAACTATGTCAAAAGGGATCTTCAACTGTCAAAAACTGCTGACCGTGCCGAAATACGTTATTTTTTATAGTGCTTAAAAATATTGTTTAAATGCTTGAAAAGTGCTTATTTTTTGTTGAAAAATTTTGCTACGTACCCTGTATTAGTATATGTTTGACTATGACTAAATGCTACTAAAATTGTTTTCAATTAATCATACTGATATTTTTTATTAAAAAGTGGTGCTAAAATAATTAATACAGTAGGGAACCGATTATCCGGAACGGTCGGGACCATCGCTATTCCGGATAACTGATTTTTCCGGTTTTCTGAATCGCTACAAAAAGCCGTTTTTTTATTGTTAAACCCAACTAAAAAAAAAAAAATTGGAAATAATCTTAAAAATAAGAAAAAACGCTGTACACTAACAATCATTAGTGTAAAACTAAAAGTAATACACTAATGATTATTTCCAAATGATGGTAAGGTAAACATCGTTAAAAAAAGAAAGAAAAATCGTAAAATCTTATGAGGAAAAAAAATTTTTTTTTAAAAAACTTGCGAGAAAATTTATCGAATTTCGTTCCGGTTTTTTGGTTTTCCGGTTTTCTGATTTCCGGATAACGGGTTCTGTACTGTAATAGTAAAATTGACTTATATTTTATAAAACTGCAATTATTACCACAGTTGAATATTTTGTTAATAGCTTCTAAATCCTTAAAAAAATTTTAAAAAATGCTTATGCCTTACTTCAGAATAAGTTTTAATTTTAAAATGTGCAATTTTTTTTTTGTATTTGATTTTAATTTTTAATAGGTACTTTGGACAAGGATAAATTACAGCAGGCACTCATACACAAATTAGAGGCCGAGTATATTCAAGCTAGAAAAGAGAGGGATGAAGCCCGAAAAATAGCGAGTAGGTCTCAACAAAGAGTTTCAGAACTTGAGAAAGAGTGCGCCAGCCTTCATGCAAAAAAAGATTTAGAACTTGAAGAGTTAAAAGAGCTGAGAAATATAAATAGAAAGTTACAGCTTGAAGTTCTTGAAAAAATGGCTCATGGTAAATTTAATGCTTTTATAAAAGATTATAACTTATGTTCATTATTTTTAAAAAAATTGTGAATGTCACAATTCCATCATAGTTTGTAGTACAGCAGGGTGATTTTTAGTGAAATTCACATATCAATCAACTGTTAGGAAAGAAGCTAATTACATAAAAATACAGCAGCAGCACTTGATTGTATCTCTACAGGTTAATCCAGCTCGAAAAAAATCTCTCTATCCCAGTTTTCATATATTTTAAAATAAGCTTGTTTTTGTAAACCATTTCAATAATATGGATCTAAATAGATATCTAAATAATTGAATAAAAAAACTTTGTGAAAAAATTTTTCCTTATTACTTAGAAAGGTTTTTAATTTTTATTTTAAAAAATAGTCATCATTCCCCCAAATTGAAGAAAAAAAAATTTTTTTTTTAGTAGTTTACAAAAAATTATTTTAAGGGGCAGATACATCTAGGTAAGTCAGAAAAATCCTGTTTTTTCAAAGCTAATATGTTCTTCACTGTTTCAAGAATCATAATCCATCAGATTTAAACAAAATTCACCATAGTTTCCTTCTTTTTAAACTGTTTGACTTCTCAAAACATGGCTTAGAGCAACTCAAGAACAATTAAGTAGACTTGCATTATTAAACATTCATTGAGAAATTGATTTGGATGTTAAAAAGACGGTGACAGATTTGCCCAAGTTTCTAAAACATACCTTACATTTATTATTTAAAAATGTTGAATACTTGAATTATTTATGTATTCTATTATTCGTAATGAAAGAAAAATAAGTCAGAAGGCTAGCCCAATTTTTTTCTGAAATTTTTTTTTTAACTGTGGAAAGGGGGAATCTGAATCTGACCTGAAAAATTTCTGCATCTGCCCCGGTTCACCCGTGGAAAGTTACTTGCATAAAATATTAGCTTTTTTGCCTTTTAGACAATTTCATCCCTGTAAAGAAGTAAATCAGTAAAGACAAATAACTTTTATTCTCTTCTCAAAGGTTTTTTTTAAACATTTGACGCAATTTAATTTTAATTTAGCTCATTTTTCTTTCAGGAAATTTGCCACCCATGCCACAGACAGAATTGCCAGAGGTACAATTTGTATTCCTTTTGGTTATTATCAATTCTTATGCATGTTTTTCTTTTTTTTTTTTTTTTTTTTTTTTTTTTNTTTTTTTTTTTTTTTTTTTTTTTTTTTTTGGTAATTGATAATTGCTAATCTAAAATAGAACTGTAGTTTCTAATTCTAATGCTGTTTCTTGTAATTTTAGGATTTTATGAACTTAAAGGAAATATAAGTGTTGGCCAAGGCAGTAAAAGCCCATAAACATTTAAAGTAGCTTTTAGTATTTTATTTACGGTTTTTCTTAAACTTTTTGTGCAATTTTTAAAATAAAAAAGAAAGCTTTCTACGTGACCTGAAAATTATCAAAAACTCAGTAAAATCAGGGAATTTACAAAATTCGATTGAAGGAGCATTAAATCTGTAATATTTGCTCTAAGATTTTCCATAGAATGCAGGGGTTTATCTATGCCAAATTTGCTGTTTAGCAGTACCTTCACAAGTTCAATTTTAAAAAAACCATCAAGTTGACAAGTACTAATTCTTCAAATTTCATATTTGTATCCCACAAGAAACAATGCATCTATATTTTTAACCTATTTTTTTTTATTGATTTTTTAAATATAATTTTTATTTTCACATGTCTAAATTTTTACAAAATAGGCACCGATAATAAAACTAGATAGTACTTGAAATGCATTTTAAAACCATATTGTTTCAGAGAGATGGAGCCTTGGTTTTTTGATCTATACAATGTAATGCATACAATTCTATTATTAATTTTTGAAATATACTGTACATTTTGACCATGGAACTGTCAGTATATTATTACTGTGATTTTTTAAAAGTTGGTTTGGAAAAGTCTTTGAATTTGGTACATCTATTTAAGTAGCAACCTTGTTATTTAAATAAGTATTCAATAGTGTATTTAACTTTTTTAAATTAGAATTGTTAAAAAAAAAAACTTTTTTAATTAAGATAATGTAACATAATTTTTAAATATGTAAAATTGTATTTTAGAACATTGACTTGGGAAATGGGGTTTTCCTGAAAAGAAAAGTTTTTGAGGCTGTAAGAGGAGAAAGCAACATAAGTAGGTTTACAAAGAGCCTTGGTGTGGCCATCTGGGGGACCGACACTCTGAAAGAACGATCCATCAAGGGGCAGGATTGTCGTAACCCCAGGGGCTGCAAAAGAAAAGTGGATGGGGAGGCAAGCATGCCTATTCAAAGAGCTGCGAAACCACCATTACCTCCTGAGAAATTGGCAGTAATTGATTGTGAGTTATTATATTTTTCTGTTTTTTCATGTGAAATAGTTGTATTTACTAATTATACATTCTATTGTTTAAAAGCAAGTACATAATTTGTCTAACGCCCGTATTCACCATTGACCCTAGCCCTTGGTCAGAGTTTAAAACAGGTTTTGTGAGGGTAACTCCAGGTTAGAGTTAAAAATCTCATTCCACCATATGTGTAACTGCAGGTTAGAGTTAAGTAATTTTTAACCTGAAGATATTCCAGGTCAGAGTCACCATGCGTGTGCAGTAAACAAGTATTTGTATATTTACTGCATTTTTCTCGCTGGCTTTTTTTATATTTCTGTTCTTTTTTGTTACTATGTTTTAATTATTTTGAATTTTGATTTTTTTTCAGTATTTGTAAGGAAGATTTCCAGATTTGAGTAACCGTAAATGGGAGGGGGCGATTCCCTTGATTCATGTGTGAAATAAAAGTATTGAATAATTGTTGGAAATAAAAATATTTTTCATTGAATTTTAGTAATAATTAATTAGTAATTCAAAAATTTACTTAATATTTAGAAAAATTTCGAGTTCACCTACAATATTGATTCTTTATAGAAACTGAATACAAATTCAATTTTTGCTAACTATTGTTTTTGTTTATAGCAGATAAAATGTTTTTATTTATCTATTTTTAGCATTAGCATTTGATTACAGAATTATTTGCTGGAGATAGAATGTTACTGTTGATTAAATAATAATAATAATGAATTTCGAAAAACTTAATTTTAGTTTCGACTAATTGCTGACAGTGGTGTTGTGGTATATATGTATATAGTTGTACTATTTAATGCAGTTACCAGTGGAAAAATGATTTGCTGACATGTATAATTTTAAACACTAATACTAATTTTTTTTCTCCTTACAGCTCAAATGAGATTATATATGGAATCAAAATCCATGAGCCTGAATGAGATTCAAGAAAATTTGAAGAAACGGAACCGATTCCTAACAGAAAAAATATGTGATCTTAATAAACCTAAGCGTGTTGCAAACATTTTGTAAATAAATTATTTTAATTAATTATTTTGTTGATTTATTGCAATAAATATTTTGTAAATTGAATCAATACCTATATTTAAGTTGTAGGTATTAAATCAGTTGAAATAATTACCTCTTATTAAACTAACAAAACCGTTCATTCAATAATCTTTCAAGTTAATGATTTCTTAATTATGTCGAAGAAAGAATTGGAGGAATATGCAACTCTTAAGTAACAATTTTCATCTTAAAGCTGATATGACAACAAACATCTTTTTCTGAACCAAACTGCTGTTAGATACGCAAATTGTACAGATTATTCATTTAGAATTATTTTATAACAGGCTTTTTTAAAGTGATATAAATGTCAAATGAATGAAATAACTTTTTTTTAGTATAGTAAACAACTTGACTGTGACGATTTTGGTATTTCTAATATTTACCAATATCTCCTCTTATTAGAAAATTGCGACGAAATACACAAAACCACAAGAGAAATTCCTTAAAAAACGACTGCAGTGCAAGCGTAAAGACTGCAAACTAATTGAACGGATACTGCTTTAAACGAGTTAAAACCAGTTGCGACTCGCAGATGCTTGTGGCGCAGGACTACTGCGATAAGTCAGAAGAAAGAGAGTGGTCACGTGATTTACAGGTCGCTCCGATTTGTTTCTTGGGTTCAAAATAAGGTTGCTCTACTTTTTTTTTGGCAGAGCGCAAAATCCAGTCTGCCTCGATTGTGCAAGCAGTAAACATTTATACAGAAAAGTACCAAAATGCGTCGAAATTTCCAAAATTAGATGCCGATGAGGCGGCAGAAGATATTAATCTGTAATTCTAAAAAAAATTATAGTTAATGTTCTTAAAACATTGCAACTTTTAAGTGCTACCTCAAACCGATCAACTAAATCTGTGGTTATGTATTAATTTCTGCATTTTAATAATTTTTAGTCCAATTTTTGGAACTTTCGACCCACTGAGGCAACAGAAGATATCAACCCAGAGTTTTAAGATTCATCTCATTTTTTAATAATAGGAATTCACATCTTTTCCTCACTACCGCAAAAAGATCAGAGAGAATTCAATATCCCCTAATATATATATATATATATCTATATATATACAGACATACATATATATATATATGAAGGGTGGCTAAGAATTATCCCCTTTGCATTAGCTCTCTTCTGTTATTTTTTGTTTTTTCAGGTAACCCTGTCTGGAAATTACCAAGTTTACGATCATTTAGGCGTAGGTAGATACGAGAATATTGCCCAAACACAGCTTCTTGTTTCTAATTTGTATATTATTTATGAAAAAGTGGATACTTTCACTTTAGTTTGAAAGTTTTATTTTTTTTATATCTAGAAATTAAAAATAAATATAGAAAAAAAAACTTTGTACAACTTACTTTGAATATCGGACCATAGGAGCACACATTGTAACACACGGCTTCGATTCAAAAAGCTCTAAAATATTTTTTTGGTTTGACTCGAAATCCATACTTAACTGAAAAGGAGAGAATTATCAAATATAAAATTTTGATATACTTTCAAACAAACCTCTTCGGTACATCTGTTTATATTTAAAGTTACAATTTGAATTACGTAGGAAGCTTCAGTTCCTAGGAACAAGATATTTAAATATATTCATTCAGTGTAGGCATTTTTTCTTTATAATCCTATTTCTTTTGCACTCGGAAAGGGGGAAATACAAATCACGAATAACCTTATTAAAAATAATGAAAAAAAAGAGAAGAAATGAATTGTTTGTCAAAGTGTATTTACATTTGTTGCATTTCTCTTTGTTGATACAAATATTACGATGTGATTTTTACTTCCTTATTATAGAATGAGCTTAGAGCTTTACTAGGCTTCTGATGACTAATTGAAGAGGTTTTTAAATAAAAAATCTCTCCGCAGCTTTACCGAAATAGATGGCTGGAAACGTTGAGGGATAAATTAATAAACAAACATTTGTGCTGCTGCGCGCAGTGTTTTAAAATTTTTACATTTTCTGGCGTATATGGTGTAACATTTTTTCTGCAACATCACAGATGTAAAATGAACTGTAGCTGGTAATTGCATTTTTTTTCCTGTCGCAAAACAGGATTAGATGGAGGATTATCTTCCCCGTGTTGAGGTTCGAGTAATAGATGATGAAAAAGTAAGTAATTTTTTATGGGGTCTTGTTCAGACTGATTCTTTTAAATGGTCGCTTGTTCTGCTGTTTGATTAGAATATCAATGTTTTTGTCTTCCCAAAACTGTTAAGAAATACTGTAAATTTTATTCTGCAATTATATTAGATAAGATAAAGCTTTTATTTCATCCAATTTTTTTTTCAATAATCCTTTGCAAAATAATATAATTAAATCTCGATATTTCAAACTTGAAAGGAGTGATGAAAAAATTCAGGTTATCGAAAAACAGGCTATCTACAAGAGAATAAGGAAGAAAAAAAATTTACATACCCAATTCTAAAGGTTCTAAATTTCCTATTTTCTAAAATTCAGAAAATGCCCTACATTTGCCCTGAAACCATTAAATTATTTTATCAGAAGATTTTATATTAGTTTTTATCAAATTTTTTAGACTGTGATCAAATGTTAAAGAAAAGGCATTTAATTCTACATTATTCAAAATATATCATTATTTTCTGTCCTTAATTTTTCTTTATTTTCTATTTATCAATTATTTTATTAAATAAAAAAAAAGCTTTTTATATAGTATTTTCAGCCAAAATTTTATTTTACAGTGATCTCAAAAGTAGATATTGCACATCACATTCCTCAGATATGAAGACTAATGGCTATCATAAATTAAGTATATTTTAATTGAGTCTATTTCACAGATTATCTATTGCGTTTCTTAATATCATGAAATAGTTTCATATGAATCAAATCTTTTTTGAGATTGATTATCATTAAATTTGACTCATAATGATGATTTCTACTTATTATTATTATTTCTTGAGTGACTGAACACTAAAATTATTTAGAAAGTAGAGTAACCTGAGGTAGTTCTTGATCAAAAAATGCAAACATCCATTTTGTGAAGATGAGTCCTTAAAAATTAAAATACAATTTAAAGCTTTTTAAGTTTTTTGTTGATCAGGAATAATTTCAAGTCACTTCTGAGTCAAAGGGAAGATTAACGGTTGTCACTTGCCATGTGGCGACTGAATAAAATAAAGTGGCCAGCAAAAAAATTACCATCAATCGCCACTGCCTCTTTTTTTTTTTTCACTCTTTCTCATTCCTCACCACTCTTTAGTTCCTGGAAATGCATAATGCGCATGTGTGCATAATGCTTTAATGTGCATGAAAACATTAATTTTTAATAATTTCTATTTATATTTTAGTTAAATGTTTGACTGATTATATAGTAATGAATTCTTTGTAAGAAATCTTTGAATGGACTAAATTTAAGCACAATAAAATTTAATCCTAACTTTATTTCCTATCTATAGAAAGGAAAGGATTTTATTTCTTCATTATCATTTGATATTTTTTAATGATTTTTTCTCCTTTTTTTATTGACAATTTGTTTAAACATATTTTCAGATATGGCTAACTTTGTTTTTATTGAGGCCATAAAGTAGTAGAATTAATCATTGTCAGAAAGAAACTTCTGAAGGAGTAGGCTGATATTTCATTTTGTTTCTTTGTTAAAAGATGAAATGGGAATAAAAAGGCAGATGCAGTATTTTGTTTTTGGGGCAGCTTTACTAAATGGCAATGAGATGGGAAGAGGAATAGCAAAAAATAGCAATTAAACCCCTAAAAGTAATATTACAAAAAAATTTTTTTAGCAATAATGGAAGAAAAAGTGTTAATAATTGAGGGATAAGATTTATCTAAATAAATAGAAATTAAAAAAGGCAAATCAAATGAAAAAGATAAAAAGAAATATATTAAAGAAAGAAGGAATAATGAAAGAATGCAGAGAAAAATAAAACTGAGAGCAGCAGTTGCAAAAATTCTTACCTTAATATTTTATGTTTAATTTAAAAGGCTTAATTTTCCAGAGTTATTATATTTCATTCTGATACTGAAGTTTAAAATTGATTATGACCATTTGTGCATATAAATGCATAAAAAGGTGTATTTGCTCTTATAAATGCATATTTTCAGCATTTTATGGCTTTTCCCTCCTAAAACCATATCACTATTCTTTTTATGTTAGCATAAGGAGCGCTTTAAATTTTGTTTCGTCGTTCTTTATCACCTGAAAGGGTCAGCTGGGTTGATGTTGCTGGGGGTGATTGCAATCACGTGAAAAAGATGTAGAAATAAGGTGCGTGTCGGGAAGGGGGGTACAAAGGGCCCACCCAAACAGACATTCGTCATAGAAACCTCAGAAAGGGATGGTCAGATATTCTATGAAGGGATGTCTTTTCCTGGAATAAATAATTGTCAGTCTGTGTGGGAAAAATAAGGCTTCTGTGGTAGGTAGAAAATGACCTCCCTTTCCTGTGATTGATTAGTTAAAAGGTGGAGTGAATACATTTTCGGAGAGAGCTGCTATTCTAACATATTTCGATAGTCCATCCGATAGATAGATAGTTTCGACATCCATCAGTTGAATACGTAGTTAGTGAAGCTTCGAACGTGATTTTTGACTGCTGAATTTTATAATATGCCAAAAATTAAGTTGACTAAATCAAATTTAATGAAGACATGGATTTTGTACTACGGGAAGGACTTTACGACCGATGGGGAAATAGTATTTTGTGTGATTTGTCAAAAACACATTTCCTGTGAAAAAAAGTACCAAATCGATCAACATATAAAGACTAATGCTCACTCCGCGAAGAAAAGGCAGAATACAAAAGGATTTGTTCAAAGTTTATTAACTATTACTGTTCAAGCAGCTAAAAAGGAAAGTGATTTTTCTAGTGATTAATGCAAAGCCTTAGTAAGCAGCAATATTCCTTTAAAAAAGTTAAATAATCCAAACTTAAGACACTTTTTAAAAAGAATATTGTACCAATCAGATCATTCTCGATGAATCGACTTTAAGAAAAAACTACCTTCAACCGATATATAACGAAGTACTGGACGATATTCGACGAGGTATTGGAGATGGCCCTATGGATTGAAGTCGATGAGACGACAGATAAGTGCGATCGCTATATTGCTCATTTTATTTGTGGAAAAAGGAATAGTATTCCTACTCGACCACATCTTCTAGCAAGCAAAGCCCTTGAAAAAGTCAATCATTCAACCATAGCAAGGTTTGTCAATGATTCTATCAGATTATTATGGCCTGATAGAGATGGTTCTGAAGATGTTTTGATTTTTGTCAGTGATGCCGCTCCGTATACGGTCAAATCTGCAGCAGCACTGGAAATTTTTTTTCCCAGAATGCTTCATATTGCATGTTTGGCTCATGCTGTTCACAGACTGGCTGAGACTGTTCGAGAAGTATTCTCCTCTGTGAATGATTTAATTTCTAGTATCAAGAAAGTTTTTCTCAAGGCACCTCTGCGCATAAAATTGTATAAAGAAATGTATCCTGATTTGCCCTTACCTCCACAGCCTGTGATAACTAGGTGGGGTACATGGATTGAAGCTGCACGTTTTTACGCTAATAATTTTGATGCAATAAAGTCAGTTGTAGATGCAATTGACAGTTCCTGTGCTTCTTCAGTTTATGTCACAAAAGAATTACTACAGGATATCTCTTTGCAGAAGGACTTGGCCATAATTGGCACTCACTTTTCTTTCTTAAGTGGAGCAATAACAAAGCTCGAAACACGAGATCTTCCCCTGGCTGAGGCCATATCCGAAATTGAAAAAATTCAACAGTGCATCAGTGCTCTTCCAGACTCAGTTGGGAAGAAAGTAAAAGAAAAATGGTGTTTCATTCAAAACAAAAATTCAGGTTTTGCAGTAGTGAAGAAGATAAATGATTTTATTAATGGAAACGGAACTGAACTTCCAGAGAAAGTAAAACCAATGAGTACGAAATTGTACAAGTTTTGTCCAATAACATCGGTTGACGTGGAGAGGTCATTTTCTGCTTTCAAAATGATCTTTGATGACCGACGACATCAATTCACCCTTGAAAATTTGGAAAAACACTTAGTTGTGTATTGCAACAAAAATTATTCAGTTTAATAAAGTCTTTCCGGAAAATGCGATGATTTTTCTTTTCTCATTTATCATACTTCAGTTTTTTCTTCAGAAATGTGTAGATTCAAGTAAGAAATATTCTGATTTTCTTCCTTTTAACAAAAAAATGTTTTAGCTGTGTTTGTTGGAAAAAGTAAGTAGTAGTATTTAAATAAGTTGAACTTTTAATTTCTATTTTAAATGCATATTTCTAGTTTTAAGAGCATGTATTCAAGTTTTTTAGTGCATATTTGCATACATATTTTGTCCGTTTTTTAGTGCATATAATCCGCTGTCTAATTATGACAAAAACAGGTTTAAAATTGAACCTAATATATATTATTTTTATTAGTATTTTTCCTCAAAACATGATATGTTATAATAACAATGTATATAATATGTAATGTATATAATATATAATTATATCTTATAATATTAATAACATTTTTTAAGCTAAGAAAAATAAATTTATTTTTATATCAATTTTGAGGCAAAATCATTATTTAGGTACTTTTAATGGAAAAAGTGGCCAGTGGACAGCAAAAAATGACCACTGATGAATTTACCTGTACCAGGTAGATTTTTCCTAGTCTTGCTCTTTATTTCTAAGATTTGTGAAATAGTTTTTTTTTGGGGGGGGGAGGATAGAAACTTTTTAAAAATGGTTAAACAAGAATTATTTAACGAATAATACTTTGGCACAAATAAAGAAACCATGAAATTTTGTTAAGCAGCAGATAAGATGGTTCATTTAGAGAGAAAAATGATGAGCGATTAAATTTCAAAGTGTCCGCATCACACTATTGGTCAAAAATGACATCACTAATGTGAAGGGAGATTATCTGTATTGGCTTAGGGCAGTGTTTCCCAAAGTGTGGTGCGCCCGTACCCTCAGGGGTACGGGAACAGTTTAGCGGGGGTACGCATTCTTATGCGAAATATCTTGCAACTAACAAAAATTTAAAAAATTTTAAAGCCAGCAATGAAAATTTACGATAATGTATTTTTTTGCTATTTTTTGCAGAGTTGACAGTTAATAATTAGTGGTG